TGCCCAGTTCTGCGTAAACAGGTCAAAGTGTAACCCATAGTTACACTTTGTTCGTATGAGTAAAATGTGCTATGTGTCTGATTTCAGCTACACTTTAATGGCCTTGAGTCTCACATTCTTCTTGTCATGTCAGCACTCTTATTTCCTGTACAAAGATTCTGTCTTCAGAAAACTTGTTGCCCAATCTGTTATTTAAGAGCTTGGTCGAAGTTTGATGGTGACAAATGACAGATACAAGTAACCTCACTAATAGTATACTTAATTTCTTTTTACTCTAGTGTTAGGTGTGTCAAATCTTCGTTTTCTAGAGCTCAGTAGTGTCAACATTAATTCCACCATATTACTTTAGGGTCATTCATCGATCAAATTTAACTGTTTTCTGTTGTGATGTGAGGTAATGTGATTTTAGTTAGTGTCTGCATTTAAAATGTTCCTTTTTAGCATTTGTTAGATTTAAAACTAAATCTGAAAAGCAACTTTTGGTATTTTCTTCTGGTGAGTAAAATTTTAAAGCAAGAGCAAGTGTTACCAGATCACCCCGGGAGTGAGTTGCTGCCCCAAGTGGAGTAGTTAAAGTATGTAGTACAGGGATGGGGACCTCCAGGCCTCAAGGGCCAGTGTCCTGCAGGTTTTAGATATCACCCTGGGTCAACACATCTGAATCAAGCGATTAGTTCATTACCAGGCCTCTGGAGAACGTCAAGACATGTTGAGGAGGTAAATTAGCCATTTGAATCAGCTGTGTTGGATCAAGGACACATCTAAAACCTGGAGGACACCTGCCCTTGAGTCCTGGAGATCGACCACCCCTGATGTAGTATCTAGTAGTGAGGGATGAAGGGAGCAGAAGATCATATTTGAGCATCATCTGCAGTGTGGTGCTTGTGGTACCAGTTGGTCGTAGTGACAAGAGTCCTGAGCATTAAAGTTAAACTGTCAGTTTACCAGACAGTCTCTGTTCCTGTCCCCAGCTATGGTCATGAGCTGTGGCTAGTGACCAAAAGAATGAAATTGTAGATGCAAACAGCTTAAATGAGCTTTTCAGGCAATTCCAGTATTTTGGGCACTTGACTAGGATTCTTCCTTGATACACCTTAGGTGTAGTGTTTCAGGCAGGTTTCACCAGGAGGACACCCGGAGTAGACCAGGATACACTGGAGAGATCTCTCTGCTAGTTTGATAATGTCTTGGTGTACCCCTGATGTGGATGGATAGTTATTCCACATTCCAGATATTTCGTAACTTGGATGTCAGAACTTGGGAGTGACATTACTCTTATAATATTTTTTTCCCCCTTAAAAACCTGCTGCAAAACATTCATAGATGTAGCCATGAATGTCTTAGACTTTACTAGTGTTTATGCTCAGTGCAGACATCTTGGATTGTTAGCTCTAGGATTGTGGGGCTGCGCTGATGTTCCAAGTAGAAAATCCAAGTTGAGGGGGCATTCCAGATTCAAATTTCAACTGGGAACTTGAAAATTCTGACTTATTTAGGAATACACTGTGTCTTTACTAGAATGCTGCCCCTGTAACCTGGACCAGGAGAAGCAGCAGAAAATGAGTCGACATTTAGAGCATATAAGTCTGTCATTGTACATTAGATGTATTTAACTATTCTGTTTAATGCAAAACGGTTCTAGCACTTAAAAATAAATAAATAAATAAGGCTTTGAACATAATGAAAACCATGAAAGAAGATGCAGACATTCACACTTTTAGGACATGACTGGGCTTGAAGGCATAACGTTCATTAATGAATTCAAAATTCACATTCCACACGTTGAGATCTTAAACGCTTAAAAATGGGAAGACTATCATTTTCATTATACCAAACGCCCTTGAAAAATGCCAAAATACATTTTTTTTTTCTTCTTTTTTTTCGCCCCCCCCCCTACATGTCAATCCATAAAAATAACAAATCCAAACAGGATTTGTTTTGTATATAATAGTTAAAATGGCGTTTTGAATTCACCAGAACTTCAGTGTTCAAAACAAAGTTGCACCCATAAGGGTTTTTTTTATGGTTTGGTTTTTGTTCTAGTGAAGTTGTTATGAGGCCAAATGACACAGTGCATGCATTCGCTCAAAAACCAAATTTTTCTTTTAATAAATTGATTTTTGTATTCTTTATTTTCCATTATAGATATATTGTATAAAGTTGAAGCGATGGACCATGGCACGGAGGCTGCTGCTGACCGAATCTTGCTGGAACCATACAAATACTTGTTGCAACTGCCAGGTTAGTCTCTTTGTCTCTCAGTGACCACAGGGGCAGGAAGGAGATGTAGATAAACAAGCAGCTGTAATGTCTGAAGTTTTTAAGTTAGTGCCTACTCAAATCGACTTGGCATGGTTCTCCATGGTTTTCAGGGTTTTCCATTAGGTCATAGTACCTGGTACCAGGTACTTTTTTAGTACCTGCTTGCCCTGGGTTCAAAGCGATCTGAGCAGGTACTAAAATGCCATCAATTGGCTGGTCAGTAGTGTCACTCGATGAGTCATGAGAGCGTCCCATTCGGGAAAATTAAACCGCCATTTTTGAAACCCAGCAACAAGGGAGATGACTACAAAAATCAACGCTGTGATCCCCGAGTCTGACAAAAAGCCACAGACTCAGCAGCAGGTATATTCATGCGGCGACGTCCACCATTTTTGTAGCATTCACGTCATATATTAATTACGTCGCGGGACGCTTGGATGCGTTGCTATGACGACAACCATGCACATTATGTAGTACTGGATTGTAAATGAAAACCAGTCGAGTCGCGGTGATCCGTGGTGAGTCGATCCAAGTAGGTACTAATGGAAAAGGGGCTTTACATATAGCTGATGAGTAGCCTACTTTAGCTACACTGACCTGAGCCGCTTGCTTCCTTTTAGTATTTGTGGAACAGAGCATGAGGACAATATCTTGGATACTGAACATGATAAAAGGCTCCAGTTCAGACACAGTCGGCACAATAAAGATCGGCAGATGTTGGTCTTTTTATAAACACCGTATGATGCTGCAGTACTGGCATATTAGGTGTTAAACTAAAGAATGTCATATTACCATCACACAAGCCGTATTTGTTTCTAGTAATCAGGTTTGAAAACGTGGGGGTCGTCTAATTTATGATAACTGGAATTGTCTCCTGATGTCCTCACTGCAGGAGTAACCATCTGTCAGACAGTCAAGAACTGTGGGTTTCACAGATGATGAGCTCAAAAACACTCAAATGCTAACTGTGAGAGCAAATGATTCTGACTTCTTCGGGAGTCTGATAAGGGAGTGTGTGCGCAAGTCTGTGACTAATAGACGAGATACACAGATATGGGTTTGGATGTTACCATATTTCATATTTTATGAGGGGAAAAGATTCATTGAGGATTCCAGTCTTCTTAAATTATTGGTGTCTGAGGGGAAACTTTGACAAAAGGATGAGTGTAAAAGAATTATGGTTCTCAAATACTTTGGAAAAGGGATTGTCTTATAATCAGTTGAGCATAATCATAAGTTATAGCTTACAGATTTCAGCTTTTAACAAAGTATTTCAAGTAATTTTGGTGTTTGGCGCATTCGCTCTTTGAAATAAAACCACACTAACTGACTGATATTTGCTATTACATTATAATATGTAGTTTTGCAGCAGTATATTGCTTTCTTTTTGTTGAGGGTATTATTTTTTTTTCTAAGCTCTAAAGCTACATGGTTTTTCAATGTTCACCACAGACTGGCTAGACAATTTGAGCATAAACCAATTTGCTGTATTTGTAATCTCTTTGATTCGAGTATGAGGCTGTAATTCACAGAATAATGACTTCTAATATTAATAAAATGGAACAGCTGTAGAAATGAGACAATGAAACCCTGAAATGAGCAAGCTGTGCACATCTCTGTGCATGTTTAACTGTTTTCTTTAGCGTGGATTCTCATTCCTAGCAGCTGTTTTTGAGATTTAATTATTGCTTCAGTTTTGATTGGTCACTTCTCGTCAGTAGAGAAAAGCCTGACCTAACACCAGACGTTAATTTGGATAAATGGGACATGTGCCTGGTATTTGTTAGTAGGGTTGTTTCTCTGCTAGAAGTTGCACCCTTTTTCCTTCCTGGCTCTGTGTTTCACAAATTACATTTTAAATAGAACAAAGGATGGCACCAGGTCTCTATTTTAAGTTGAGGCGATGTTGGTTAATATTGAAAGAACTGCATTTGGAATATACTCGAGCCCTTTTAAGGCATAGTGTCTCAATTGTAAGATAGACTATATCATTATACTCCTAATGGTTTAGACTATGGCTTTGAGCACTCGATGAAAACTGCTTTACAGCAGAGTTCAATAGGATGAAGGAGGAAAAAATGCCTTAAATGTTGTCTTTGAAGATAAAAATATCTGTTAATCCTGCCTGTTTCCAGCTTTTTAGTGTTTTAGTCAGGTAGGAGCTCAGCGGGAGCTGATCAACTAATGGTTTAAATGTTCACCCTCACTTAATCTTCAACTGTGTTTTGTATAAGTGGAGTTAAAATGTGTTTTATCTGTGTGAGACTGGTGTTTATTTAGCCTCATTGCACACTAAATGCAAAAGCCATTTCTTTGAGAACACTCTGTACCTGCAACTCTATAATTAACGCTTGGGTCCATACGTTTTCGCAAAGTGACAAAACTTTTGTGATTTTTGCCCCTGTGCAGCACAACAGTGGATTTTTCACTCCAACAATTAAGATGTGAACAGACTTCATGCTTCAATTCAAAGGGTTTAACAAAAGTATTGCATTAACTGTTTAGGAATTATAGCCATTTTTATACACAGTCCCCAATTTACAGAGGCTCAAAAGTAAATGGCCAAGTCGGTTACAAACAGTCAGATCTGTTTTCCTTCATTATTTCATGACATATCAGAACTCTTAGTTGGTAGAGTAGTCATTTACTACGACTAGTGGGGCCTCCACCAGAGCCCAGCATATGATAAATGACGATTATTTTAAATTGGTAATCAATCAAATTTACTGTAATAGAGTGAAGGAATGAAAAAAGGAAGGTTTAAATGACCGTAATGGGTCCATTTGGGGGGGGGGGCAACCCCAAAATTGTCCACATGAAGTCTTTGTGTGAGGTAATACCACTGTAGATGCCACGTCATTTTAGGATACAACAATTGATCTTTTTTTTTTTTTTTTTTTTTTTTTTGTTCTGCTCTTTCGGTAGGAAAACAAGTGAGAACAAAACTCGCCCAAGCATTTAACCACTGGCTCAATGTTCCCGAGGACAAGCTGCAGGTGAGAAAAATCATCCGTTTTGCTGCCAGAGCTGTCTGGTGTTAATTGTTGCTGACAGATTTAGGAAGGTGAAATGAAACTGTGCTCGTTCAGAACAGGTAGTTTATTTTTGCAATGCGACCATTTTGCATTTTATCAGCGGAGTTGTTCCTAAGTGTAAAGCTTGTGAGAAGAGCTTAGAGCGCACATGATTTATTAAAGGAGATTGTTAATGCAGCTGAGGATTAAGTGGAACGAGATGGAGAAAAAAACGATGCAAAGCTTTTAAAAACTGTTCAGTTTCTCTGCATTTTAAACCCTTGTTTCTCCAGTTTTAATGAATTCCTAAGATTGAATGCATTGTGTTTACCTGTGGTGTGTTATTTGTTCATGTTGCTAGAGCATTAGAGATGCACCCTTGGGTAACACAGTGACTTGCATATACTGTGTATGTCGCCATTGTGATTCAAACACTGGTTTTCAACTCTGCGCTGCAAGTTTTGTCCATGGCTGTGCTAGTTTGTGGTGCCAGAAGTTGCCTTATTTGGATTAGAGAGTGTAGTGCCAAGTTATCAGCTAAAGCTAGATATTTTGGTTAACAAAATTAATTCATGCTTCAACAGCGACAGATCTGCTAATTATTACAAAGTAACAGACTAATAATAAACTACACTCGCCAAGACTGAAGCACAAACATCTGTGATGAACCGTACCACACGTGTACAGTCAATCGGCTTAAAACATGCACGCAGAATGAAGAGGTCCAGTTTAATAAGGTAAAGCCTAGTAGACTATGAAGTTGGGCATCTTTAACGAGTGTCTATGGGGATTGGCTCTGTTTTTGAAGCTGGTCTCAAGTGGCCACCACAGGAATTTCCAGTTTTATCACTTCCTTGTTGGCTTCCTTTTTCAGCCTGCTGCTGGTTAAAGATACACTGTGTAAAATCTCACTGCTAGATGTCGGTGGATTGCAGATTTCATTCAGCTGAACTTTTTCTTACCCCTCCCAATTCAAGCGATGGTAAGACAAACAACTCTGGCCAGCTGTTGTGAGTCAGTTTATCTCAGCTGTCAATGCCTCCACATCGGTTTATTCTCGAGAAGGCTTTATAACTTTCTAAAAGGAGTTCAATATGAAGTTGAGTCAGTGAAGCTCATTTCTGTCCGATGACAGTAATACTGAAAATAGTTGTTGAGGACTTTTCTTTCTGCAAGTGCTGCCGTTTTTGCTGCTGTTTGCTGCTGTTAGCGGTTTTAGTGTGACTGATCTAACGTTGTTGAACTTTTTTTTTTTTTTTTTTTTTTTTTTTTTTTTTTTTGTTGGACAGCCAAGCTTAACATTAACTGGCATAATGTTAGCTTTTAATCAGCTGTGGTTGTTTAGCTGGCTCGTTGTCAGCAGTTTGGAGGCTAATCTCCTGATGATATGTAATTGTAACAATATTGGGAATAAATAAGTTTGTTTATGCATGTTTTTGTGTATTAGAGCCCTGACTTCAGCTTAGGAGATGGAATTGGGTCGGCTACTGTATTCAAGATGGGAGGGCAACATGGCAGCTTCCAAAAACCAGTGCCCGTCTGTCTTTTTAATGGATTAATTCTAACTTGATAGGAATGAATCTGTGTGTTGGCGATGCTGTAATTGTTGCATTATGTAACATACCAATCGATGTACATTTAGAAGTAACTTTTTTTTTATATAAAATAACCTCAAAATGACTGACTGTACCTTTTTAATGAATTGTCATCTTATAACTGCTAGTGACCTTGTTTGCATTACATGTAGCCAGCTGACTGCTTTAAGAGAGGAGTGTGAGGTGTGGCAGCTACAAGGCATGATTCCTTATCTCATCTGTACATCTCTAAATTGACGGCCACATTATTACACGTTTAGAGGGCTGATTCAAAAAGAGCTCATGTTGCTCTGATGACTGGTCATTGAGCCAGTTAGAGGCACAAGGTTCATTCATCATCCAGCTTTGTGGCTTGAAGCTAAATTTGATGCAACTAACAATACCAAGCTGTGTCAGATCAGGGCATGTTGTGTAGACATTTTTTTTTTTTTTTTAAATCAATTTTTATGACACTGATTTCCATCCCCTGAATGCCACAGAAGCTCCCAGTAAACTCCACTAAGGAATGGTCTACATAGAAATGCAGAGGAGAACAAATGAAATATGTCAAACAATCCCTTTTATTGGCTACATTATATAAAGACATTAAATGCAATACAACAGAAAAACAAGATAACTCCATGCCTAGAGGTATGCTAAACACTGTAAAAATGTATGCGGTGATACATGTTTTACTCCCAATAGTATGTGTTTGTGGCTTTACTCACTGAATTCAGTTCAGTGTATATTTGTTCATACAAGTTTCACTGCTTACACTCCTTTTTATGAGTTTGTGTGCATGCTGGGCATCACATCACCCTTTCACTAGAAGACTGGGATGGAAATTTCATAATGATTGCAGAACCTCTCAATTGTCTTCTTTTGTTTCATTTTCTCTGAAGCTGGATGGACAAATGAAAGCAAATGTGGATTAACAGCAGTTTCAGTATGATGTGGCAGCTGCTGTTTATATTGGGATATTTCAAGATGAAAAGCATGCTTAGTTGTAGGTTTTTTGTTTAGTTTTTTATAAAAGTGGGTAGGACATAGTCGCTATAGATTATTTCAGATGTTGCAGTAAATCGTAAAGTAGGGCTGGGCCAAATCATACCATTCACGGTAATACCGGTATAATGTTGGGCAACAATATGGGTAAAACGCGCATGCGCAGTGCCGTCGTTATTACTGTGTTTTGTTTTGTTTTTTGTTTTTTTTTTTGGGGGGGGGATACAGCACACCTAAAATCAATCCTTTGATTTTTCTGAAAATCGACAG